GGATGAGCCACCACCTAGAGCCGGGAAGGGTCTGTCCCTAGGTTTCTGCCTGTTAAAAAGCAGTTTTTCTTTGCCCCGTCGCCAAGTGGCTTGCTTCATGGTGGGGTATCCGTTGGGTCTCTGTAAATGTTAAAAGGAGTTCGGTCTAGACCTGCTCTATTTGAAAAGTGTCCTGAGATAACTTCTGTTATGAATTAGCGCTATACAAATAAATTGAATTGAATTGAATTGAATTAAAGCAGAACAAATAGCTCAAATATTACACTGAGATTGTCAACTTAGCTCCAGTGCTCCATGCTATAACAAACAAACAAGAAATGTTGATTTCCATGCTACTACTGGAGAATATACTGTTAATACCTTGGCACCAGCTGATCCTTTGTTCTTGTAAGATGAGGAAGCTCGCAGTCCAGCCATCTGTCCTGCAGGCATTCTACAGAACCTTTGTAGAATCCATACTGACCTCCAACATTACAGCACGGTTCCGAGGGATGAGTGCTATCAACCAGAACCCACGCAATAGAATTGCAAGACCACAGGATCTGGCAGGTCATGTTGGGACCAATCAGGTTCGGGCAAAGAATCAGAGCTCTACCATGCACACACACACACACACACACACAGAATCAAACATCAGCATTAATGCACAGTAGCACTTCTGCACTGTTACTGCACTCTAGTTTTTTTATGTGTGTGTTTTACGTATGGTGGCTGCACACAATGATTAATCATTGGTTGATTTCGCTCAGGCCTGGATTCGTGCAAATGGCGCCCTAATAGCATTTTTTCACAATTATCTGTCTCATGTTCCACTGTCAAGATATAGTGAAAGATAAAAGAGCAGTTTTAAGATCTTAGTGAGAGCACTTTAGAGCACAGAAAGGTCTAGAATGCAACCTTTGACCTTTAGGGAAAGGCCCTTTTGGTTGTTCCACAATCCAGGATCAAGACTACAGGAGACTCTTTCTGTATTAGGGCGCACTTTGGAACAGCCTACCTGAGGAAATGAGGCTTGCTAAATATGTTTCATCTTTTAAATCCCTCCTAAAAACTGACATTTTTAATCAGGCTTTCATGTGAATTTCCTGTTTAATATTTACTGTTCATCCCTGTGATTAATTTTATTTTTATTATTGTTTATTTTATTGCAATTATTTATTTATTTTTTATTTTATTTTATTTTGACACACGCTGCTATGTATTATGTTTTTTCTGTGTGTTATGTTCTTAATCTTAATAGTATCTCTGATGTGTTTTCGGTTGTATCTGTTTACCTCATATATTGCTTGTAATCGTATTCTTTAGTGCTGCTATTTTTATGTGTATGTAAAGCACTTTGTAAACATTATTTAAAAAAAGTGCCATACAATTAAAGTTAATATTATTATATATTATTTATGTACATAGTAGTTTGTTTACTTTGTCAAACTTGTTGTCCTTGTTTATTTTGTTGCTGTAAGCCCATACTGTGTATTAACATTGCGAGTCAAATTCCTTGTATGTGTATGCATACCTGGTCAGTAAAACTGATTCCAATACTGATTAGCACAAAATTTAAATAATTAAGCTCTTAAAACCAGATTTAGACACTGAACCAGCAGTTGGTGTCTCCTCGTGGCATTCTGACCACATGCTCATAATGTTATGGCTGATCAGTGTATGTGGCATATAGGTAATGAGAACTGTATAAAAAGTTTAAAAATAATAAATATCAGGAAAACTCATCTCTGAACAATATTCATAGGAAATAATCTGCTCAAAATTCATCCAGATTCCTGCAGTTATTGTGTTCACTGTACAGTTTATCAGTTGTTCTGTATTCGTTCAATGTAATATATAATCATAGAAAAGGAAATAGGTTGGGAACCACTGGGTTAGCTTATTGGGTGTCAGACAGCTTCAGTAATTGTACTCTGTGTTTATTTCCAGTTTCTCCCTTTCCTAATTAATAAACCTATGGACAAACTTAGATACTTTATCTATGGGGTCTTGGTGAAAGAAAGGTGTTTCTCTGACTGTCGAAGTGCATGGCTCATGTATAGATGACTTAATATATATTCCTATAACCTTCTGAACACTGCAAATTTCATTCTGTCTCTGAAAATCCAACAACACCTTCAAATATTTCCCTTGTTTATTATCAGCAATTAGTCAAATACATATAAACAAACAGTAGGAAAAGGACAGAATTCATCAGCGACTTTGTTTTTCACAAGGTTATCAATATCGCTTTTTGCGCACACCCATTCACTCCTCCAGTTTTTTTCTGTTTTTTTCTTTTTGCGCAACATCTTGTGCAGTAAAAAAGGAAACACATTATGGTACATGAACAATAAATAAAAAAGAAATATTTAGCACTTTATTTACAACTCATATTCTAAGAAATATAAAATAAACATTCCGTTAACTCACTAGCAACAAACTCCACAGAATATTAAACTGCCATCCTCTGGCAAAGATATGATCTCTCATACTGATAAATAATACACTGCTCACTTTGCTAGCTTAAATCAGGCAGAATTGTATGATTTCAAAATAATACTCTACTACTACTCATACAGTGATTCCGCCTGAACTCAATTTTTATCAGTAGAAAAGCATCTGGAAAAGACTTTACACCACCATAGGGCAGTAAAAGTGACCCAGAGTGATAGTTGTTTAAGGGCTGAAAGTTATTTAAGACAGGGAGACCACAACAACTTTTCATTGGTAAGGTCTCTCTTCATGACTGAAGAGTTCACTTTGATAAAATGTCTTTAAACACTTGAATGGGTGAATAAAACCTGAACAACAATGTAATTCTTCAGGTTTTCTGTAGCTGTGAACAGGGAGGACCATCCATGTGGAAAGTGTACAGTGAATTGTTTGCTTCCTATCGTACTACAGCATACACCCACCATTAGACTGGATTAGACTTTGAGGGCAATGTGAGCTGATACAGACAGGGCAGCTCACGAAGACCTGTTCGGGTTATTAAAAACATATTAATAACTTAAATCTATACCTGCAGGCATGATGGGTTGCTGTAAAACATACATTCATAACCCAAAATCTGATGGCTTATGAAGGATAGACATTACCAAAAGGGATCTATTAAGCATTGGCAAAGTATCAATATTAATAAAGTCATTTGTAACCCTGTATAAAGTGGAATAAAAATCTGAATTCTGGTTGGACCCCAATTGACCCCAAGGTTGCCTTCAGATGGCCAACACATTTTAATTACCAAGGACACATTACAATGGGACACTTCAATGAAGAAAATGTTGGAACCAGTAACCAGTAAGTACCATATAACTACCCTGTGAAGAATGTTTACAGTATGTACCAAATTTGGAGGGGTCTTTGGAACGACATGATCAGGGTTTTCTTGACAATACAGGACAGCACTTGCTCACTAACGGCCATATAATTAATCGTCTCAGGTTCATTACTGGTAGGTGGTCAGTGTTTACAGTACAGTCCACTTTAGCTTGCTTTCTTTTCTCAACACAGCAGATTTTTCCATTGCGTCTCTGGCAAATTGACTTCTGTTTACTGCAGTTTTCTTTAACTGTAACATCGATGACTCGATGCCAAACAAAATATGCACCGAGGTTTATGTAGGAGGGGAGCTAAAATATTATTTCCAGGATATTTGCTCAAATAATACATTTTCAGGTGTTTCCATGACTGGAAAACTAGTCTCTACATTTGCAGGGTATGTGGGAGCCTTGATGATTCTCATCCAGTCAATCAGACTCACAAAATCCTTAGAGCCAGGTTATGCTAGAAGAGAACTAGTCCATAACTAAAGTCAAAAGTGTATATAACTGTTCCAAAATGGCCACACTGGAAGGCGAGTGAAAGCTGACCATCAAACGGAGGAGGAAGATGCAAGCGTGATAACTGTGATAACGGCACACAGTCTCTCCTGGAAGGCAGTCATAGTGTTGTAATCTGATTTACAGAAACAGATGAGTAAAGGATGAAAAAAGAGTTAGATGAGAGAGAGAGAAGTTCAGACCCACGGTCCTCCGCAAGGTGAAGCTGACGTGGGTGTGAATGCCGGACTATTGGTTTCGGGAAGGTACAGAAATGGTTGCGCTCAGACCCCGCCGTCCAACATCGGAAAGGTTTGAAGGAGTTCAACCATCCGACAAGCAGTTCTGATAGGTGCCTTTAAGACCAAGTGCTTGTGATGTCAGTATTGTTCCTCTATTTCTGTCGAACTCTCTGAATCTGACAATTCGACAACCTTCCTGACTTTATCCAGCCATTGGAGGTATGTAAAAGTTTCAGCTTCTCCCTCAGCTCTTTTTCACGCAACTACAAGACTACAAAGAGACACAAAAGACCAAGAGTTCGAAGAGATAGATGGGTGAGGCCGTTGGATGCAGCCAGTAGGAGGCTATGACAGCAGGCTTTTTACCCTCTCTTCAAGAGTGGCCATTCAGGACATGCAGGTTCAAAATGCTTTTGCTTTTAGAAGACTTTTATGAAATCAAGGAATACAAGTCTTTTGACCAAGAATGAAAGAATTCTGAGATGTAGGTCAGAATCAAAGAAGTAAGTATTTTTTCATCTGTCTGATATTTTTATCAGATTATGAACTCATTATTTTAACTGACTTCAAAGATTCATCTGCAAACTCAAATGTCCCAAGCCTCTTTATACATCTGAATACCAAGACTCAACATTAAATTATCCTCCATATTCAGATTTTGTTTCCACTTTTCTTGTCATATCAAAGCTAAAGGATTTCAGAATGGAAGGGGTTTCTATGGATCTCCTGCAGTCTGAGTTGATGATAATAATGCCACAGTCAAAGAATTGTCAGAGAATAAATTAACTCAGGCAGAGTTTGGGACAGGTAGCTGTACATACTAGAAAGGTAAAGTTGAGAACACAGAAAAAAATTGTATTTACATTGCGTCCCATCATATCACACATAAGAGGTAATAGAAGAAAAATATTAACAAACATTGGTGAGTTTTGTTTGCAAAAAAAGTCTACTTTTTTACATTTCTAGCACAAGACTGTACACCATCTTGTATTGAGAGAGGCAGTTTCCTATGGCAAAGCTAGATATAAGTACATATCATGCTGCACTAATATAGTGCAAAATTATGCCTGAAAAACAGAAGGTAGATGCAGGCCGAAGTGATGGTGGCTCTGGGAATTACACTTTTGTTCTCTGGATTTATCTTTTCTTGCAAGATGGAGCCAGGCCACAATGACACAGAGGAATCTGAATGTTTTTAATGGGACAAAGAATGACAAGTGTCCGAAACACATGATCCCACTCAGCGGTAAAAAAAATGAACAAAAAAGACTAATGAAGATTTGTGCTTTTAGAGCAAAATCTTTTTTGGGGGGGGCGACCTTCTCTGACGACTGTAGTTTGGATGTTACCGGCAGTAGTAGATGGCAGAGAAGTAAAGGCAGACTTCCAGAAGAAGATAAAGAATTCATGAAGGCTCTTGTGAAACAAAGTATCAAAATGGAAATTAAAAAAAGACAACAGGGACATCAAGACTGCTAATGACATGGATTCAGTGTCTTGAGCTGTGAGGTTTCTCTTTCTGTCAGAATCATCTTCCCACGGTGTCCACCTGTAGGTTGAACAATGCCCAGCGGCAGCCCTGACATCAAGGGTTTCCATAGAAACCCTGTGTGTCCTGCAGTAGGACGTATGTCTGTAGGTCAGTGTGGTCAGCAGGAAGACTTCTACATGTCAGCGTCTCCGTCGTAGGCCAGAGTCAGCGGCTTCAGTCTGTTGTTCATCTGCCGTCGTTGTGGCCTCTTTGGCTTTTTGCTACAGAACAAACAGGGAGAGAATGTTTAGAGAATCTGGCCTCAACCGTTCAACCACAGATTTGCTTTAACCTTTACCAACAAGAGCAGCCTTCAGTGCGACAGGCATAGTGCTATTGAACATGAGCCAGGATGTTTCCACATTCCTGTGGTCAGTTTGCCCTGTAGTTTATGGACCATACCACTGTCTTTTCATTGTCTTTAAAATACATATAAACATATTCCTTGCCGCCGTCACCGAGTGCTTGCCCATGGTGGGAACTGTTGGGTCTCTTTAAATAATTTTATAAGGAGTACGGTCTAGACCTGCTCTATTTGAAAAGTGTCCTGAGATGGATGATGAATTGTTGCTATACAAATAAAATTTTATTGAAATTGAATATAAATTACCTTTCATTCATACATTTACAATAACTGATTAAGAATGTTTTTACCTTGCAGACAGCCATTGAATTTCATGTATTTCACTAAGGTATGACAGATTTGAAAACTCCTAACCTTAACATAATATGTTGTTTGCCTACCAAAAAGACTCTGCTAACACTGGGGTCAGTCATTTTGGAGAAAGATCATCACCTCAGATCATCAAATAATGACGCTGTGGGTTATCGTAAATGGGAAACAAACTAAGTGGCTCCGAACCTTTAGCTCAACCATCAACTTCCAATCTCTTCTCCATCTACAAGGTTTAGACAAGTCCAGGTACAAAGACTACTTGGTAGGGTTAGGAAACGATCATTGTTGTGGTTAGGAAAGGGAAAATGAATATCAGTCAGTCATTTGCTTGGTTGACCACATACAATCCAGCCTCGCCCCCATTACGTTTTTTGTTGCTATCACAGTTTGCACTACAGTTCTGCCTTTTTTATGACAGAAAACAGTCATTATTTGTACAGCCACTAGAGCCTTATTTGGTTATTATGCCTATTTTGACTGTGGAGGAAACGCACAAACATGGGGAGAACCTGGATTCCACTCCTGGACCCTCTTGCTGGGAGCGAACAGTGCTAACCATTGTTACAGCAATAAAATGTGAGAAACTGTGGTGTGGTTCTTTGGTAGTGCCATACACAGCAGTCATTGTTGACCAGCAATACAGTGGTTATGTAATATATATTTGAAGGAAACAGACTCATAAGCATTTGTTCTATTGTTCTGATACAGTGAAATATTCTGAACAGCATTTATATTGTAGACTGCAGCTTGATGAGATATACTGTATCACATTTAACATAAGAACTGTGAACAGTGACATTACTTTGTACAATAATTAGAATAATGGTTCTATGTAATTGAACCAATAAACACTGAAATGGAAGAGGACAGTGTCGACATAAAGTATGTGAGGATGATGATGAAAGGAGAGATATTGACATTATGACTGGCCTGCAGGTTGTGAACTCCTTTGTTCCCTGATGTTTAAACAGTGAAATGTTACTCTCTGAGGTCACAATCACTGTACTTTTTCTGTAAAAAAATACACATTGTTGGTATTAACCTGACCCATTCTAGTGGTTTTAAACACCATATATATATATATATATATATATATATATATATATATATAGTTTTAAACACCATATATA